CCCCTTTTCCTCCCCTCCCCCACCACCCCCTCTTCCTCCTCATCTTTCTCCTTCCTCTCCATCTAACAGACTCAGAGCAAATAATACCAATACTGCCATCAGTAACAGGATTCCTGAAAAACAACTTAAGAAGGAGTTCACAGTCCTCTCTGTCTTTAGGGAGTATCTGGTTTGAGAGTAATGTACAATCACTTGGTCCTGGAGTTACAGAGGGTCTTGAGCCACCATGTGGGTGCTGGGATCCAAACCCAAATTCTGTCGAAGATCAGCCAGTGCTCTTAACTATACTCAGACCTGCCTCTCCAGTATGTTTCTGCTGATGTAATGCCTGCGGTAAATAGCTGCTTACACACATTTTAAACCAGTCTATCTCTGGGATAGTCTTTGAAGTGGGTCAGACAACAGGCTTTGTAGATAGTGAGTGATCCGAACTTGCAGAGAAGCTAGCTGGTCTTGAATTAGACCCTTTGGTTCTTCTGGGTAGTGGAGTCCTCCCTATGGTGAGGACCACGAGGAAGGTCACCATGGAGACTTGGAAGCCTGTTGACTTTGCTGGATGCAGAATGTTCTCTGGGTAACAAGCTGAAAGAGAAATTCAGGTGAATGTATGTCTCATCCACAAGCAAGACACAGCATCACCTCTGGGGCTCTCTCTGCTCTACAGTGTTTCTGGACACTCCGAGTACTCCCCTTTTCCCAATTCTCTCTTTCTCTGTCTTTGTCTCTGTCTCTGTCTCTGTCTCTCAGCAGAGTCTCATATATCTCTGACTGGCCTGAGACTCACTATGTAGCTGAGACTGGCCCTGAACTCCTGAACTTCCTGCCTTCATCCCCCTGAAGTTCTGGGATCACCGTGGCCAGTGTTATGCAGCTCCAAGGGTAAAACCTGGGACTTTATGCAAGCCAGACAAGAACTCAGCCAGCGGAGCCCCTGAATCAGTCACACACTGCTAAGGAAGTAAGTAGCAGACTCAGAAATGTTGAGCCTCTATCCCCAAGTGCCATGATTAAAAGTGACAGAGATGGATCTAATGTTGGTCAGTAGAACATTCTGGAAAGTGATATAGCAAAGCTATTTTTCCTTTCAAAAAATGATTCCAAGTCAACAGAGAGACCAAGACAAGGGGAATTCGGAAATATCTGAGCCCTGAAACACAGATGGAGAGAGTGGGCAGAAGGGGTTCGGGGCTCTGCTGGGGCAATGACGCATGAAACCCAGGGGGTGGTAAGGTGTATGTGTGTTTACATATATATGTGTGTGTGCATGTGTGTGTCTATGTACACATGTTTATGTTTCTATGTGTGTTTATTATATGTGTGCATGCATGCGTATCTATGTATGTGTGTGCATGTGTGTCTATGTATGTGTGCATATGCTTGTGTGTGTGTGCGCAGAGGTTTTTCTGGCCTCTTCTGTATATACCATGCAGAATACAAGAAAGGCTCCGCACTATGAACTCCAGCAGCCGGAGGCAGCCGGCAGGGTTTCTACTGAAGAAGATAGGTAAATGGTGAGGTGGGGTGGTAGAAGAGCTCTGGTCCAAGCTGACTGAGGCGGCGTGACGTGTGAGTTCATTCTCACTTCTTTGTGGTTTGTCTCAAAGTTTCAGGAATGACGAAATGAAACTTCCCACTTCGTCATTAATTATGGAAGAACGGTTTACGCTTGGTTCTTCTTTCCCTGCTACTGGAATTAAACCTAGGATAGTGCGCATGCGTGTTGAGTGCTATGCCGCTGAGCTCCGTCTCCCAGCTGCTTAGAAGGAATACTTTGACAACAGGGCCAGAAGACACGATTCATCCACTACCAGGCGTGCTCTCTCAGGCCATGGGGGGACAAATTGGTGTTCCGGACACAACCTGGAGAATTTAGACATCACTGTTCAGCCTCTGTGGGCCTTGGTCTTTGTGATGTGAGGATTGGCGGCTGAGTTCTGGAGCTGGAACTCCACATGGAAGTGGAGAGGGATCAGGATGGGGATGGGATTCACCTAGAATATTCCGTGAGAAAGCAAAGGCTGACTGGCCCTAATTTTCTCCTCCGGTGCTTGAATTTCTCTGCAGCCAATTTGGAAGGCAGCGCACACGCTCCAGGGAAGACTATATCCCAGCAGGAGCTGCGGTTGACTTACTGGAGGCACTTTGCAAGGACCCAGTACCCGCCACTGATGACAGTGACGAATGAAGGAGCCTGGCGGACCTCGTGTAGATGTGAACAGGGACGGTACTGATCCACATCCACCCAGAGTAAAATCGAAGGCTCCAATTTGGCCTGCTGAACAAACATATTTATGGAGGCTTATTGAACACAAAATTAATTTGGGAGGCATTAATCTGCAGAGGACCGGACTGGCAGCTGCACTGGGGCGCTTAATGGATGGTAGTAACAAAATGAGCTGGCTGCCACAACCCTTTCTTTAAATGAGAAAATATGAGCTCCCTCAGGGCGCTGGGGACTCAGAGCCTTCCTCCAGAATAATGCAGTCTCCAGATAGATCCAGGGGACAAAAGAGAGTCCTGAAGAATGTAGAACCTCAGAGACCAACATCCTCAAGTCTATGTCAGTCTCCAGATGATGGACAGCTGCCATGGGATGCACCCCACACACACCCCCCGGCTTCTTTGCTGTGCACTGGGCTTGGGGTTTATTTGCTTCACTCTGTCTCCCATGTTTGCAGACTGACATTTTGAGCACCCAGGAACTGTTAGAAATGTAAACCTACAGGTTCTGCTCCAGATAGACTGAAGCAGTAAATATTGATGTCTGTATGCACATGCACACAGGTATTTGTCTACAAGTGGGTGTACATGTGTCTGTGTGGAAGCCAAAGGTCGACCCCGAGCCATTTCCCAGGCACTGTGCACACTGGTTTTTGAAACAGGGTCTTTCTCTGGGTCTTGAGGTCAATAATTAGGCCACCATGACTGACAGTGAGTCCCAGGGATTTCCCTGTCTCTTTCTCCACAGGGATGAGATCACAGGCATATACCACCACACTCAGCCTTCTAAAGTAGGGGCTGGGAATGGAACTTGGGTCCGTGGCAGAAACATTTTGAACTCTTAATCACTGAGCCATCTCTCCAAGGCATCTCTCCCTTTAGTCTCTTTATTTATTTATTTATTTTGGAGGCAGGTGTCTCTGTATAACCCTGACTGTCCCAGAACTCACTCTGTAGACCAGGCTGGCCTCAAACTCAGAGATCTGCCTGACTCTGCCTCCCGAGAGATTAAAGGCATGTCCCACCCACCACCAGCATTATTTGTTCATTTTAAACATTTATTTGTTAGGACTATGTGTGTGCACGTGCCCAGGTGTGTGCTACAGTGCCTCTGTGTGATATTTTGTTTGTGATCTTAACAAAGTTCGCCTGAAGATCAGAAAACTGAGCTAGCTATACTAGTTAGGTATAGAGACCAGGCAATGGTGGCTCACACCTTTAATCCCAATACTTGGGAGTCACACGCCTTTAATCCTAGCACTGGGGAGGTGGAGACAGGAAGGGATATGCCTGGGAGGAGAGAGGAATATAAGGCAGGAGGAGACAGGAGCTCAAGGCATTCAGTCTGAGGATTTCTAGGGACAGGATCTCCCATTCCGTCTGAGGATTTGGTAGAGGTAAGAACTAGTGGCTGGCTGTTCTTCTCTGACCTTCCAGCATTTACCCCTATATCTGACTTGGGGTTTTTATTATTAAGACTAATTAGAATTCATGCTACAGCCTCTTTGGAGGTTAGAGGACAGCCTCTGAGAGCTAGTTCTCTCCTTCCACTGTGGGTTCTGATGATCAAACTCAGGTTGTCAGGCCTATAGCCTTCATCTCATCTGCCTTCTCTGTTTCCTTTGTTTTTCTGTCTCATTTCCCTGAGCCCCATCTGCAAGATTCCTCATAGGTGTGAAAACACTTTGATTCTATATCTCGTGCTATTGACAGTTTGCTTATGCACAGAATCCCAGGTGGGCAGTAATTTCTCCCCAGTTGTTTGTAGCATGCTCTGTTTCTATGTGACCTTCCCATGTAACTGTCTACAGAATCCCGGAAAGCTGCGGGATCCTTGCTTATGCCGTCCGTTCTTCCGTGATGCGCCTTGTATGGGCTCGCTCTTCATCACTGTGCTAAGTTCTTGGTGGCTTACGTTTTAGGAATTTATTTCTTTGAAAAGTTTTCCTGGGGCTGGAGAGATGGCTCAGTGGTTAAGAGCATTGCCTGCTCTTCCAAAGGTCCCGAGTTCAATTCCCAGCAACCACATGGTGGCTCACAACCATCTGAAAGGAGATCTGATGCCCTCTTCTGGCCTGCAGGCAGACAGACAGAATATTGTATACATAATAAATGAATAATTAAAAGTTTTCCTGTTTCCCCCACCCCTTTTTGTTTGTTGGTTTTTGAGATAATCTCTCTGTGTGCTCCAAACTGTCCTGGAACTCACTCTGTAGACCAGGCTGACCTCAAATTCACAGAGATCCACCTGCCTCTGCCTTCTGCGTACAGGGATTAAAGGTGTGCACTACTACATTTGGCTGTTTTTTTTTTTGTCTTGCTATGACTCCATTACCAATATGGCATTTTTTGGTTCAATTCTCTCTCTCTCTTCTCTCTCTCTCTTCTTCCTTCTTCCTCCTCTTCCACCTTTTTTTTTTTTTTGAGACAGTGTCTCACATAGCCAAGGATTCAAATTTGCTACACAGCCAAGGCTGACCTTGAACTTCTGATCTTCCTGCCTCCCCATCCTGAGCATTGAGATTGTAGGCATGCCCTGCTATACCCTACTTTTAGTTTACATCTGTGTTTTAATATGCTCTCCTCACTCCGACAGACTGTTTCCTCTGCACACCTTTTTCTGGCTTTCTTCTTTTTCATGTTGTGATGTTTCTTTAGTGAGTTTGGTGTCCTTGGGGGAGGGTTCACATTAGGAATCGGGGGCAGACGAAATTAAAGGTGGATTGAACGCCCTGGTGCAGGGGTGAAGTTATTGATAGTTTGGCTTTACTTAAAATAAAGGAGGCGTGTGAGTGTCAGTTTCTAGAATTCCCCTTATGCTCCTCTCCCAAGCTGTCAGGATTCCCTCGCAGTGGAGGTCTACAGCTCAGCACCGTCACAGGGGAAGGGTGTGTGTGTGCACATCACACTGATGGCCAATGAATATGAATTCCCACAGTTATAATTTCTCTCTAGCGCTCTGTTCTACTTTATGCTGACACGTGAGCACCGGTGAGCTCCAAGCCGCTCTCTGGCTTGAAACTATGGCTGGAATGCACAACTCATTTATGGCTTTGTACCTTTCAAAGGAGAGTCCAAACTTCTCTGACATTTCCTATCTAGATACTTGCCTTGTAGCCTGTGTCCTTATTGTGTGGGGACCTTGAACGTCTCCCTGGGCACTTATTGGTCTGCATCATTGGTTATACTCAATGGCCTCACTAATTTTGGGGAGTGTATTCCTGTTAGGATTCAGGCATGCTGCCCCCCCCCCCCGTCACCTGGCAAGATACACTCAGGCAGTACCCTGGCCAGTCCAGAGTCTATGGCTGCTATATCATCACTGTGTAGTCTGTGCACGTGTGCCACACCCCACCCCTTAAGAGACAAGCTCCACCCCGTTCCTGCTGTTTTTTCCACTGCTCCTCTGAATTCTTTGTCTCTCTCTCTCTCTTTCTCCTTCTCCCTACCTCTCACTACCCTCCCTCCCTCCCTCCTCCCTCCCTCCCTCCCTCTCTTCTCTTTCTTCTTCTCTCCTCTCTCTCCCCACCTTGTCTCTTTCTCTCTCTCTGTCTTTCTTCTCGCGCCACATCACTCCTGTCCCCAGAGGCGGGTTTCCCCCCTCCTCCGTTTTCCATTCCCCTTCTCTTAATAAAAACTTCCAGGAGGAAGTTCTGGCTGCATGGTGTGTCTGTCTCTCATCCGCCATGGGACACCTTGGCGGTCCCTCTCCCGCTGTATTGTAACAATCCCAAGTACAAGATTGGCTCCTCGGTGACTTTTGTTCCCATTTTAGTGTCTGATCCACTAGAGGAGGCCATTATTGATGGTTGAACACAGAACATTGGAATTGCTACAGCTCTTTCCACCCCATTTTAAACCAGAGGATGAAAATGAAACTTTCTGAATGTCTGCCTCACCCAGAAAGTATGGCAGACAGAGTTCAGGATTTCCAGCCTCGTAAATGATGCGTGGCTCTGAGGCTTACTCATCACTGACATCCCTTAATACTGAGTACAGATGCAAGGCATATTATTTATTATAGCATTTCAAATTACCCCAAAGGGAGAGACTTGAGCTGGGGAGATGTCACAATCAAAGTGTTGTGGGAATTCCTTTAACTGTGTAAAGACATGCTTCATTTGTTTGTGCTGCGTTTGTTTAATGATGTAAAGATGTGTTGCCTGCCTAAGGCACCTGATTGGTCTAATAAAAAGCTGAATGACTAACAGCTAGGCAGGAAAGGGATGGGCAGGTTGACAGGCAAAGAGAATGAGGAGAAGAGAATGAGGGAGAAAGAGGGACATGCTCAGGGCCAGAAGCCAGGCAACCACCAGCCAGACAGAGCAGTAGTGAAGTAAGATACACACATGGAAAGAAAGGAAGAAGCCCCCAGGCAAGATGTAGGTGAAGAGAAACAGGTTCAGACATAAGAAAGAGCTAACAAGAAATGAGTATAACATAAGGCTTTCAAAAGTAAAAATAAACCCCCCTGCCGTGATGTGGGAGCTGGTTGGTGGGCCAAAAGAAACCCTGCTACAGTAAAGTGCGAGAGGACCTGAGTTAGAACCCCAGAATCCGTGTGAAAAGCCAGGCGCAATGCCACATGTTTGTAACCCCTGTGGTGGGAGAGTGGAGGCGGCTGGGTCCCTGGACAGCCCAGTCCAATTGGCAAGCTCTGCGTCAGTGAGAGACCCTCATGTAGTATGAGGGCTGGCTTGTTGGGGTATCTGTCCCGCCCAGTACCCCACAGCAGGCAGGCCCCAAAGAAAATCACACACAGGGCTCCATAAGGTTATAAACTGATTGGCCCATTAGGTCAGGCTTCTTGTTAACTCTTATAACATATATTACCCCATTATCCTTATCTATGTTAGCCACATGGGCTCAGTACCTTTCTCAGTGTGACAGCTTACATGTTGCCTCTTCGGTGGTCTGCACAGGAATGGCAGAGGAACCTCCCTGCTTCCCAGAATTCTCCTGTTCTCCCTCACTCAAAGAAAAAGACAGCCAGCAGCTAAGGAATGACAGTCAACACTGTCCTTGCTTCCACAGACGCGTGCATGGTACCTGCACACACATGAACACATACAGGCACACATGTGTGTGCACACATACATGCATGCATAACTGCAGGGGGAGAGGTGCTGCGCTGTCTCCATTCTCTGGTGTGTGTTGCACTTTCTTTTTGACCTGTGAAGTCTTTTCTTGAACCATGACCCCCTCCGTTTGAGTTTTTGCTCTTCCCAAAATGAGATCTTTGTTTAGCTGAGCAAGGTCACCTGGAACGCCAGCTCCTGCTTTCTCTTTCCAAGGTCATTTGTAGGGCACTCCAGTCTTCTGATATGTTAAGCAGCCGTAATTGGAGAAAATTTAATAAACAACCATTAACTTGCTAATAGAAGCGTCAGGATTCATCTATCTCATGAGTTCGAATAATTAATGAAGATCAGCTGCAAATACAAAGCCATCCAGTGTTCCAGTCTGATCCAGAAATGGCCCTGCAGTCTCCTTCTGTTACCAGGTGGCTGTGAACCAGGCAGGGGGATCTTGGGGGCCTCTGTTCACTGCCCTCAGAGGGAAGCAGGGGAGCACAAGTCGGAGTGAGGAGGATCCCAGCTGTGCCTCCTCTCTTCAAGGTCTCACCACAAGGAGGTTAAGAAACCCAAGAGGGTTTCTCCTGGGTTCCAGAAATGCTGGTGAATCTCTTTTTAAATCTTTGTATGGGGCTTGGAGAGATGGTTCAGTGGTTAAGAGCCCTGGCTACTCTTCCAAAGGATCTGGTTCAATTCCCAAGTGGTGGCTCACACCCATGAGTAACTCCAGTTCCAGGGAATGCGACTCCCTCTTCTGGCCTCTGCGGGAACCAAGCTCAGAAGAGGTACACAGACATTCATGCAGGCAAAGACCCATGTGCATAAAGAAAAAG